TCCTTAAGATACGTTTACTCCCCTTGAAACCTTGACCACAGTCAAGAAGTTTCTAAGCTCCCTTTCGAGGGGAACTACAATTACTCTGATTCCATTCCCGTCAGGATATGTAGGCACAAGATGCGATGTCTTGCCGAGTAAACTTAGGACTAACCCTTAGGTCTCTTTAGGTCACTCTATCCCTTAGCAATAGATATTTAAAACAGATAATAAAATAAAAAAGCATACAATAAACAAAAGGTTCCTGTAGAATACTACAAAAGTTTATGGTGCTAGTACCTTCCCTAAGCTTAACCAACCCCTTACCTAGGTCTCTCCCCGCATTGTGTTTACGATGCAAAAATAGGTTTCCCCTCTTTTGACCTTTTCCTTCGGATAAATCAAAGAGCGGTTGTGAATTAGAAATTGCGATTCAAACTAATTAATAGTTTGGTATCCTATTTCCACCGCAACAGGTGTCATAGATAACGTGGTTTGTAGAAGAAAAGGAACGAATATTACTATCGAAGCAGAAACTATGGCAGTGAATTTGGCGATAGACAAAGCTAAGATTGAAGGATATCAGAGAAATGAGTATGAATCGGACAATTTGAACTTGATTAAGATAATGAATATCAAAGATCATATTTTACCCAGAAGCACAGAGTCATTGGTCGAATCGCATGGCTAAACCGGATTAAACTAGATAACTCGGTTGAATAAACCAGACTTTATAAAAAACTATATAGTTATTAAACCGGTCGAACCGAATGGTTCGGTCTCTAAAAAAATCACAACACCTATAAAATTTCAAAATATTATTTTGCAAATTCATAATTTAAATAAAAATTCTAAACATAGTCATCGTACACGGTAGTGTCTAATTACAATACAAATTGCTCTGGACTGGGCCGACGCTTAGTGTAACGCCCCGATTTCGATTATCCCTTTTTCATTAAGTCCTTTTCGATTTTAATTGGGCGAATATTATTTTGATGTGGAATTTTCGTGGAAATATGTTATGTTTACATATTATTCTATTTTAACCGATTTTGAGAGTTTTCGGAGAAAATAGTTGGAGGGTATTTTGGACATTTCCTATTTAAGTGATAAGTTGGATATTTTATGAGATATTGAGTTAGTAGATGTTTTGGAAAAAATAATAGGAAGATATTAAAGAGGAAATAGAAGAGAAAGAAAGATAGTAAGAAAGGAAGGAAAGAAAAGAGAAAGAAAGAAGGAGAAGAGAAAGAGGAAAGAAAGAAGAGGAAACTTTTGAAAATATCAAGATCAAACCCTAGCTTGCGGTTAATCAGGTAAGGGTGAGAAGTTTTATCATCTTGATAATGTATATGATCATGTATGTGCTAGATTGGATTTGTTGGATTGTTTTCTATGTTTCCATTTCTAAGTCGGAAGTTGATTTAATCGGTAGAAACTGAGTTTTATCGGTTAGAATTTGGAATAGACGGTGTAGTATAGTCGGGTGATGAGTGGGTTGTACTACTGGAACTGATTTGGATTAAATCGGTCGGTTTGTGAGGTTTGGGCTTTTCGACAGCCATGCGAGTTCTGAGTTCGCAGGTCCGCCAGGCGAATGGCAGCGAAGCTTCGCCGGGCGAAGCCCAGCGAGCAGCAGCGAACCAAGTCAGTAGCATCCACCCTGTCTTCGCTGGCAAGTTCGCCAGGCGAATGAGAGTGGCGAAGGTTCGTCAGGCGAACGGAGTAGCGAAGGTTCGCCAGGCGAAGGTTAGCGAACACAGCAGCATATTTTCTTTTCTTGTGTTTTCCATTCGTGGATCGATTGTGTGGTTTGGTTGCGATCATTCCTTGTCTGAGATGACTAATTATATGTTGTTATGTGTGTTGTGGGTAGCCGTATGGCGTGAATCCTAGATTATGAATTGATTGTGAATATGTGGCCTTTTGGCATATGTGATGCATTGTTTAAATTGATTAAAAATGCATGATGGATGGGATTGAGTTTGTTGTCGTTTGGCACGATAATTGTGAGTTATAAATGTGAATCTAGAATGAAGCGATATGAGATGAATAATGAACATATGTATATATGCATTGTGATATATATATATATATATATATATATATATATATATATATATATATATATATATATATATATATATATATATATATATATATATATATATATATATATATATATATATATATATATATATATATATATATATATATGTTGTGAATGCATATTGAATATACGTGCTGATATGTGATGTATGAGGGTTGTAAATGTGAACCATGTTTGAATAGTGTGAATGAAATGATGAATATATGTATATATAGTGATATGTATATATTTTGAGTGCATAATGAATATATGCGATGAATGTGAAGAATGCATGAGTATGTTTGTAAACATGTATGCATTTCAAGAAGTGTATGAAGTCATTTTGCATGTGAAACATCATGAAGTACATTCTTGTGTTGTGATTCCTAGGAGAGTCTGATGAGTGATAGGATTCCTAGGAGAGTCTGATGAGTAATGTGATTCCTAGGAGAGTCCGATGAGTGATGTGATTCCTTGGAGAATCTGATGAACAATGTGATTCCTCGGAGAATCTGATGAACAATGTGATTCCTCGGAGAATCTGACGAACAATGTGATTCCTCGGAGAATCTGATGAACAATGTGATTCCTCGGAGAATCTGACGAACAATGTGATTCTTCGGAGAATCTGATGAACAATGTGATTCCTCGGAGAATCTAACGATCAATGTGATTCCTCGGAGAATCTGACGAACAATGTGATTCCTCGGAGAATCTGATGAACTATGTGATTCCTCGGAGAATCTGATGAACGATGCGATTCCTCGAAGAATCTGATGAGCGATGTGATTCCTCGGAGAATCTGATGAGTAATGTGATTCCTAGGAAAGTCTGATGAGTGATAGGATTCCTCGGAGAATCTGATGAGTAATGTGATTCCCAGGAGAGTCTAATGAGTGATAGAATTCCTAGGAGAGTCTAATGAGTAATGTGATTCCTAGGAGAGTCTGATGAGTTATAGTGTACCCGTGAGGGGCGTGAGTGAATTGATTCATAGGAGAATATGATGGACGATTAATGTCGGTATCGTATTACATTTGCGTAGAGTAGCGAGTTGGCCCCATGATTTGCATTTATCATCTTTATATGATGTATGATGAAATAAACATGAATGTAGATGTTTATGTGAATTGGTGATGGAATAAACATGTTGTGTATGTTTATTAAGTTAATGTGAATTGTGATATTTGGCATGAATGAAGATGCTTGAAGATGTATATGTATGTTTGAATATATATATATATATATATATATATATATATATATATATATATATATATATATATATATATATATATATATATATATATATATATATATATATATATATATATATATATATATATATATATATATATATATTTATATGTGTGAGTATGTCTGTATGTGTGTGTATGTATATATATATACACACACACACACGCACGCACGCACGCACGCACGCACACGCACGCACGCACGCAGCCCAGCCTAGTGCTAAGTAACCGTTGGTCATGCGCTGGGGGCTCACTATAAATACCTTATTCACCAGAGGGCCAGGTAACTTAATCTTCTTACTCTCTCTCTCTTTCTGTACTTGCTTCCACTCTGCTCGTCACTTACTTTGGCATCGGAGTGTGTTTCAGGTACACCCCCTCTTCTTCCATACTTTGGGTGAACAGCTTCCAGATCGACAACGTGTGGCAGATCATTGATCCCCTTCTGGTCAGATACGATCACAAACTAAATAAGAAAGTGATGAATTCTTATTTACCCACCTCAAAAAGTGAGATAGAGTTATCCATAGAGTAAATTGCATTAGAAATCTACAAAATTTAAACTATTAAATAAATAATTAAATATAATAAAATGATATGACATTAATTGATTGATTGAAGATACACTATCTCATTTTTTGGGATGGATAAATATGGTGTCCCCTAAAAAAATACATGGTAGTGTCTAATAAATTTAATTCCAAGAAAAAAAAAAGTAATTTTAAACAAGTTTTAAAGAAAGACTATTTATATTTTAATTTTATTCTTTTAAAAAATAATTAAAAAAACAATGTTGTTTTGGTTGAGGAAAAAAAATCAAATAATTAACCTATTGGATTTTTAAAACCGCCGGTTTTTATAAATTTTGGCCAATTTTGATCGGTTCTCGTTAGTTCAATAGATTATCCGATTTAGCAATCAAACTAAACCGATAACCCCTTTATTTTTCAATTCAACCGGATGATTCGATCCCGATTCGATCCCAATTTTAAAACATGGGTTCAATGTGTTGTGAACAATATACTATACTCTTAATATACTATACTCTTAAGAAGGTTTAGGAATTTTGTATATATTTTCTCTTGTAGTGAGAACATAATAACTGTTCCAAATAAGGAAGGTACGGTCCGTAATACAACCTGGCCTAATTTATGTTAGGCTTATAATTATATTTGTAACAGAGAATTTGTTTGTAAAAAATATTGTTGAACCAAACGACAATGTTAGACAAAATCCCAACAAAACAGAGAAAGAAAAGGAAAAATAATTAGAAAAAATGACAAGAGGCAACGAAAAAACCGGGAAAAAAACGCTAGAGAAGTAAATCGAGAAATGATTGGGTGTCGTTTGAGTAACAGAGTGATGCAACCGAAAAAATGACAGCAAAGACCTTATTTGCATTTTTTTTTGCCATTTCCTTCTCTCTTCTTTAGTCTCTCCCCCCTCTTCATGCCACACCCTCCTTCGTCGTCCACCTCCCGGACGACCACGAGTGGCACCCCTCCTCCCTCCCATCGCACCTCCCTTCATTTATCTTCTCTTGGATCAAAACCCTCAGACTCAAACGTTCCAAAACTTCCGAAAAATTATACAAAAAATACGTCAGATCCTATAAACTCAAATAAACAACATCCTCATCTTCATTCTCCATCTCGTTCTCGTCATAATCGTTACCAATGTCGCAAGTATTGGCACCGTTCCAATTACTGGAACTAAATGTTATCTCAACGCAGGATTTGGCTTCCGTAGGAAGAAACATGAGAACCTACGCGGTTGCATGGGTTCATCCCGATAGAAAACTTTCCACACGTGTGGATACAGAAGGCCGCACCAATCCAACATGGAACGACAAATTTGTGTTCCGCGTCGACGATGAGTTTCTATACAACGACACTTCCGCGATCATGATTGAGATCTACGCTTTGCATTGGTTTAAAGATATCCACGTTGGTACCGTTTGTGTCCTCGTCGGGAATCTTATTCCTCCGCCAGCTAGACCTTTTCATACCAACCGTGCTCCTCTCGGTATGCGGTTTGTCGCTCTTCAGGCTCGTCGGCCTTCCGGGAGGCCTCAGGGGATTCTTAATATCGGTGTAACGGTTTTGGATAGTTCCATGAGGAGCATGCCGCTTTATACTTTGAATGCCTCTGCGGTTGGCTGCCGGCATTTGATGGGAGAAAAAGATGCTTATGATAGCCATAATCATCTTAGTCCTCATGTTTTGGCTGCTGGCGGTGGTGGTGGTGGAGGTGCTGGTAAACCTGAACTTCGACGAACGAAAAGTGATACAAGTTCTGTTATTGCATGCGAAGCAGTTTTGCGTCACCAACGTGCTATTATTAATAAGGAAAGAGCTAGTTCTGCAATTTCTGGTTCTGAAGTTGGCTATAATAAAGTGAATAAAAACAAGAAAAAGAAGAAGAAAAATAAGAAGAAAAAGTCCTCCAATGAAGAAGCTAGTTCTATCATTAGCAGTGTTTTCAGCGACGCCGTTGTTCCATGGATAATTAAAAATGGAAAAGCAAGTTCTACTCCTGATTCACGCGTGCAACCGCCGCAACCACCACCACGCTATAATGATGACGAACACCACAACAATGACGAAAATGATATTGATCATCATCATGATCATTATCATGATGATAATGATATTGATGATAACGAGAAGGATGTTTCGTTTGTGAACACTATTTCTCAAGCTACAAGAGACACTGATATTAATGATAAAGTGATGGGTCTTAAAGCACAAAATAGCAAAGAAATGGATAAAACAGTGTGATTAGAATTAAGGAACTGTAATTGTATTACTATGAGATCCACAATTACAGGAAAATACGGAAGGAAGAAAAAGAAAATAACAAACTGGTAGTGGCTACCAATTCCCAAGCACGGAGTGTTCCCAAATCACCAAAAGTGACCCCACCAAATCTAACTAAATTCCTTCCTGATTATTCCCTTCCAGTTGTAGCTATATATAGCCACTCTCATGCACTTAATTCATTCACAACCACGTCATCATCTTTAATTCCTTTTGTTTTCTTCCTCGTGTAAACTCTCCACACCCTTGGCCTAGGTCCCACTTCACTAATCACATTTCTATCAATTCCCGCCTCCTTAGACAATGCCTTATCCTCAAGGCAGAATTCAGGAAATTGACCACGCGAAAATTCATTATCCTCCCACGTCACATCCTCTAAAGCTTTGTTTTTCCATTGTATCAAGGGTTGCTGAACTTCATTACCTCCCTGCACTGTGACTCTTGAACCCAGCACCTTATCAGGATATACATCATTCTCCTCGGTCACCTCCAAATCTTTTGGTAACTCTCCCTATACCTGATAGTTCCCAACAACTTTCTTGTGTAATGAAACATGAAAAACTGGGTGAATCTTAGATGTTGCTGGCAGTTTCAACCTGTAAGCCACTTCACCAATTTTTTCCGCCACTTGGAACGGTCCATAAAATCTTGCAGCGAGTTTCTGATGAATCCTTTTCACCACTGACTGTTGTCTATGAGGTCTAAGTTTCAAAAAAACCCATTCACCAACTTCAAAACACAAGTTCCTCCTCTTCATGTTAGCATACCTTGACATTTTTTCTTGCGCCTTGAGCAAATGAAGTTTGAGTTGGTTTAGGGCCTCATCTCTTTCACTCAATTCCAAAGCCACAGCAGCTACTTTCGTCTCATTAGACAGAAATCTCAGCAATGCAAGAGGTTGTCTCCCATAAACTACCTCGAACGGAGTCTTCCCAATAGATACATGAAAGGTAGTGTTGTACCAATACTCCGCCCACGAGACCCACAATGACCAAGTCTTTGGATGATCAGAAGCAAAACACCGCAAATAACTTTCCAAGCACCTGTTAACCACTTTCGTTTGACCATCTGTTTTCGGATGGTATGCTGAACTCATTTTCAGTTTCGTTCCCTGCAACTTGAACAACTCCATCCAGAAATGACTCACAAATAAAGGATCACGATCACTAATTATAGAGCTTGGAATTCCATGAAGTCTCACCACTTCTTTGACAAAGAGTTCAGCAATGGATTTAGCAGTATATGAATGTTTGAGTAAAACAAAACGACTATACTTGGATAGTCTATCCACTACCACTAACACATCCTCATAACCTTTAGACTTAGGTAACCCAGTGATAAAGTCTAAGGACAAGTCCTCCCACACACCATTAGGAATAGGTAAAGGGTGTAACAAACCACCAGGAGTCGTAGCACTGTACTTTTGTCTCTGACAAACATCACAGGATCTGACATAATCCCTTACACTCCTCTGCATTCCCACCCAATATAAGGAATCTGCCAGTCTGCGGTATGTTCTTAGAAAACCTGAGTGCCCGAGTGCCCTGCAACAGGAGTATTGTGAAATTCTTCCAATAGCCAAGGGATAGAGGGTGATTCGGGGGAAATCACCAGCCTGCCATGATAAAGTAAAATTCCTTGTTGCACCTGAAACCTAGGTCTAAGCTCAGGAGACTCCTGCACTTCTTTCATTAACTTTTGAATGTACGGGTCATTATTTATTTCAGTCAAAAGTTTCTGTCTATCAGCCCACAAAGGAAAAGAAATGATAGAGTTCATTTCTATTTCAACATGACATCTAGACAGAGCATCAACGGCTCTATTTTCTAGGCCAGGCTTGTACTTGACTTCAAATTGATAGCCTAGAAGTTTGGCCAACCAGCACTGTTGATCTGGAGATGAAATTCTCTGCTGCAAAAAATGTTTCAAGCTCTTATGATCTGTATGCACAATAAATTCTCTGCCCAATAAATAATGTCTCCAATGTTGAATACACAGCACAAGGGTCATTAGTTCCTTCTCATAAACAGATTTTGCCATATTCTCATCAGATAAAGCTTTACTAAAGAAAGCAATAGGTTGCCTCTGCTGCATTAGAACAGCCCCTATACCCCTGCCAGTCGCATCACACTCAACCTCAAAGGGTAACTCAAAATTTGGAAGGATTAGCACAGGAGGAGAAGTCATGATCCTCTTCATTTCCTCAAAAGCCTTGACAACTTCTATTCCCCAAGAAAAAATGTCTTTCTTAGTCAAGTCAGTGAGAAGTTTTGCTATTTTACCATAATCCCGGATGAACTTTCTATAATACCCTGTGAGTCCCAAAAAACCATGTACCCCCTTCACGTTCTTTGGCGTAGGCCACGAAAGAATACACTTCACCTTCTCAGGGTCCACTGCCACACCCTCACCAGAAATGATACGGCCAAGGTAATCAATTTGTGCGCACCCAAACCTACACTTTTCTTGGTTTACCACAAAACAATGATCCACTAAAACTGACAAAACCATCTTCAAATGCCTTTGGTGTTCCTTGATATCTCTAATGTAAATCAAAATATCGTCAAAAAACACCAAGACAAACTTTCTCAAATATGATCTAAAAATGTCATTCATGGTAGCTTGGAAGGTAGTCGGGGCATTCATCAGTCCAAACGGCATGGCCAAATACTCATAGTGGCCATTATGTGTTCTAAATGTCGTTTTAGGGATGTCATCCTCATGCACTCTAATTTGATGATATCCAGATTTTATATCAATTTTAGAAAACATAGTAGCTCCATATAATTCATCTAACAACTCATCGACTATAGGAATTGGGTACTTATCTGGTATTGTAGCTTTATTTAAGGACCGATAATCTACACACATTCGCCAGCTCTTATCTTTCTTATTGACTAGTATCACAGGACTTGAAAAAGAACTCATACTTGGACGAATGACTCCTGCTCTCAACGGCTCTGACACTTGCTTCTCAATCTCTTCTTTTTTGTGGTGAGGATACCTGTAGGGTCTGACATTAATAGCACCATGGTCCGGATAAAGTTTAATCCGATGCACCTGACTCCTCTCAGGAGGTAGCTGAATGTTGTCTCCAAACACTGCCTGGAATTCTTCTAGTATCGGCTTTAGGCCATTGGGAATCACTTATTTAGTTACTTCTATTGACTGTAAATAAGCTCGCCACCAACCCAGCTCACTTCTGCTATGAGTGTTCTCAAGGTAAGAGTTTAGATATCCTTTGATGCCTTGACCTTGCAATTTTACCAACTCATTTTCATAAGAAAATTGCATAGTCATGGCCTTCCAATCCATCATCACCTTTCCAAGAGTACTTAACCAAGCAACTCCTAACACAATATCCATTCCTCCTAACTCCAACACCAGCGCATCCACGGTCACTTCAATCCCTCCCAGCTTCATGTTGATCCCTTTACACACTCCACTTGTTATCACTTTATGATCACCAAGTTTGATACTCTTAGCTGTTGTAGGTGTAATAGCAAGACCCAAAGCAGTAGTCACTTTGGGAGAAATGAAGTTGTGACTCGCACCACTATCAATCAACACTAATAGGTCTACATTTTGTATCTTCCCTTTAACCTTCATAGTGTGAGATTCACCCATGCTTCCCAATAGCCCCATCAGTTTACATTCCACCTCCACTTCTTCTTCACTTTCCACCGTCACGTCTTCCATGCTCACAATTTCCCCTTCTTCTGTCATAGTTTCACCCTCTCCTAAGATTAAAACCCTAAGAGCTCTTTCTGGACATTTATGTAACGTAGGGTGGTATTTTCCCCCACATTTGAAACATAGACCCTTCGCTCTCCTCTCTTCGAATTCATCATTGTGGAGACTTCGTACTCCCTTCCATCTCTCCGTCGCGCCGGAACGCGACCCCCTTTGTTTTTGCGAGCTGAGGAAACCAAAGACGACGTTGAATTCGTGTTGGATCCAGTCGAACCCGTTTTCTGACTCGGGTTTGACCCACCCGACTGAAACGGACGATTTGCATCCTTGGGCTGAAACCCACTTTTACTCCTTAATAACCCGGCCCAATCCTTCTGGCCCACACGCTCGTACCCCCCTTTTTTCACATCACGACGCTCACCATCATCATCGTCCTCCTTCAATTCCTCTTCAACATCCTTCGCAATCCTCATCATTTCCATCCTATTTCGGGGATTCAGAGTATGCACCCTCCTTCGAGTCTGGGGTTTCAATCCACTCATAAAATATCCCAAATACTGTTCTTCAGGAAGCCTGCCAACTTGTGATGACAACAGCTCAAAGGCTTCGACGAAGTCCTCCACACTTCCCTTCTGCTTCAACGTCGAAAGCTCCTCGAACGGATTCTCCAGACGACGTCCGCCATAACGAGCAATTAACGCTCGCTTCAGCTTTTCCCATGACAACTCATCTTTCGTCTCCATCAACAAGTTGAACCAATGAATGGTTGAACCTTCCATGCTCAAGCGAGCCAACTTCACACGCATATCATCTGATGTGTTCTGAACATCAAAATAATTTTCGGCCCGTGTAATCCAAGCCACAGGATCATCGCCATCAAACAGAGGCAATTTCACCTTCTTTCCGGCGAGACGAGACTCACTTTGTGCAGAATCATTCGTAGAGTTTTCTCCTTCTGTCGTCTCTCCTTTCTTTCCAATCTGTTTGCTTAGTTCTGCTAGAACCAAGCTTTGCTGATGCATTTGCTGAGCGTGTTGCTGCATCTGAAGAGAAAGTTCTTGCAGTGTTGTCGTCACATTCCCCATCTGTGTCTCCAAAGCGTCAACTCGGTCACCCATCTTAGGCTTCCTTGGCATCTACAGTCGTCTTCTTTGTGTGAGTTTGATCCGGTAGGTCGGACCAATTGATGGGTCTTAAAGCACAAAATAACAAAGAAATGGATAAAACAGTGTGATTAGAATTAAGAAACTGTAATTGTATTTCTATGAGATCCACAATTACAGGAAAATAGGGAAGGAAGAAAAAGAAAATAACAAACTGGTAGTGGCTACCAATTCCCAAGCACGGAGTGCTCCCAAATCACCAAAAGTGACCCACCAAATCCTAACTAAATTCCTTCCTGATTATTCCCTTCCAGTCGTAGCTATATATAGCTGGTCTCATGCACTTAATTCATTCACAGCCACGTCATCATCTTTAATTCCATTTGTTTTCTTCCTCGAGTAAACTCTCCACACCCTTGGCCTAGGTCCCACTTCACTAATCACATTTCTATCGCAAACAAAACATTGCCTATCAAGTTAAGGCCACGCCAAGTCGTCATTATCCAAAATCTTCGATGGTGGAGTTTAAAAGCTCTCTGAAGCCGAAGTTTATGAAATCCCCGACTATGCCAGAATATAAGAACTCTCCAAAGCCGCAGTTTAAGAACTCTCCTAAACCGCAGTTTCATAAATCTCCGAAGCCGGAGTATATGAACTCTCCTAAACCGCAGTTTCATAAATCTCCGAAGCCGGAGTATATGAATTCTCCAAAGCCTAGGCATATGAGATCTCCGACTCTGCCGGAATATGACAACTCTCCTAAGCCACAGTTTAAAAACTCGCCAATGCCGGAGCTTAAGAATTCTCCAATGCCACAGTTCAGGAATTCGCCTATGCCAGAGTATAGGAATACACCTATGCAGCAAGTTAGGAATTCACCTATGCCGGAGTATAAGAATTCGCCTATGCAGCAAGTTAGGAATTCGCCTATGCCGGAGTATAAGAATTCTCCTATGCAGCAAGTTAGGAATTCGCCAATGCCGGAGTATAAGAATTCCCCAATGCAGCATCTTAGGAATTCTCCAATGCCACAGTTCAGGAATTCCCCAATGCCACAGTTTCGAAACTCCTCAGCTGCGGCGCCACATTTTAGGAATTCGCCTGCAGTTTCAAAGTTCAACCCTGCAATGGGATTTGGCGGTTCGCACAGGGGGACCCCGATGCATCCGTTCGGAAAGATGAATGGTGGAATGGAATATGCAACACCGATGAGGTCCAACTTGGCTAATGTGAGGCCGGTTATGATGACAGAGTCAGAGCTGGGACCATCTCCGTCAGAGGTTGCGGCTGCAATGGCAAAGAAGCCGGTGATCGATGAGGATACCTCAACAGTGGGAGGATGGAGCTTGGATGAGAGTGTGGAAGGGTTGGGGTCAAAATTAGAGAGGTGGCGGTCGGAGTTGCCTCCGGTGATAGACCAAGGTGAGATGTCGAGCTTACCAACAACAAGCACGTCGAAAACTAAAACTAGCCGCCACTCGCGGAGGCATACAGACGGAGGGAATGGGTTATTTTCTTGCTTTAGTAATATCTGCGGTGTTGAGTGCTCCATTGTATGTGGTGGTGACTCAAAAAGCAAGTCCAAGGCCAACAAGAATAGTCGCCGACTTACTTCTTCTGCCGACGGCAGTTCCAGCCTTCTGTGACAAGACAGCCTGAGGTAGCATTGCATGCATGCATGGTGGATCATGGAAAAGGACTAAAATGTGATTTTCATTATTATTCTCCTTTTTTAGTTCTTGTGTCATTCCTATCTGAAATTATTGGGATTCCATATAACTCTTATACACATTATATCTTACAAAATATAATTATGTATTTATCTCTTTGGTTTTCTATATGTATATGATGAGTAGCATTTTGTAGTATGATAATCTCTCTGTAAGCTGGCTGAATTTTTTTACTAGCATTTTATTGTTCTAAAGAACTTATATAGACACGGACACAATATTGACACTGGCACGTAAATAAAAATAAATCGAAAAAACAAAAGTGGTTGAATGGAAACACATGTTGATATGGTGTACATGTCCGTATCAAACACCCAACACATCTCTAATGTAAAGTGTATTTTCTACATAGGTTTTATCATATTCAGTGACATGAAACAAAACTTGAATTCTACATTGATACTAATTAGTTTTTGCTTTACAATTATTCTGTTTTGGAAGTATTTTTTTCCTTTTTTGGTCCAAATGTCTTATATAATCTCGAATATAAGTTTGTACACCTTTTGTGTAGCAGGCTCAAAAAAAGTAGGAACCTAGACAGTCTTTCCCTGCAGTTGAACCAATTTCATTAAGTTAAAAGAAGTTTGAAAATACCAGCAATAATGTTTACCATATTTTAACACACTATTAAAAATATTCAAATGTGGACCAGTTCCTATTGTAAAATATATGCCAAGCCTAATCTCTATTCAAAATATCATCTATGGTAACTGTTGGAGAGCATCCGGAGGAGCAATGGACTGATGATCAAGACCATTGCGAAACCAGAACATCAGATCTCCGCCTAAAACTTTAGGTATTATGTATAGTACTACTCTTCTTTATATATCCTTAACCTGGTCAAAACCTAATCAATATAGGGGGCTAACCGTTCACACATGAATTTTAATATCGTGAGATTCAGGCAACAAATTGAGCTAATAACAACCAGAATAGAATTTATATCCTGATATTTGTGGATCAAACAAACAATAATAATTACATATGCATGAGTATTGAGGAGGAAAGAGAACTTGCCTTGCTTTCTCATCACTGAAAATAGGCTCGTAGTCATAGGCTCAGCAGCAACAATACCATTTTTTTCTCCAGCTTCTACAACCATGTTGCAGTGCCATCTACAATGCAACAGTTGAGAAATTGTATACTTTGGAAAATAACATTAGCATAGAGAAAAAGAAAAACCTATCTATACATACAGTTAAACATTCAACAGTGGTCCCAACAAACTCCATCGTTCTGTGTGTTGCACCAGACAGAGATATTTCGCCAATGATCTAAAGGTTGGTGGTAAATGTTTGCACATGGCAACACAGCGAGAAAAAATAATAGTTACAGTGAATATTGAATGATATAATTTTGTTACATGATTTTGATTAACCATGTTTGATTCAAAAGAAAAAACATGCGAGAAAAATGCAGGTTTAACCAACTCTGTAATTATCAAATGTCCCATTATTTTACCGTTTGAGTTCTCTGAGATATAAAAACTAATACTTCAAGTAGCTCAAAAATGAATTAATGTCAAAATATTGATGATAATTAGTCGGAAAACATACAACATGATTTTTAAGTTAAATGTTTTAATGTAAAAAACAAATTTACATATGTTTTGCTTTGTCTAACTTTAATCCAACCGATATCCTAAAAGTATTAATGCATCATCACATGTTTGGCTATTCTCCAAAATCACCTAAAAACTATTGATTTAGTGTTTATTTATTTTTTAAGAATGACATTTATACACATGCATCTAATAAAATAGCGCCATATAGATATTTGTAAATATATTTAAAAACGAACTTACAAAAGTGACACGAGACATTATAATATAATTCAATTCCATTGAATGCATGTGTTGAAAAAAACCCTTCTAAAAGTCACAAGTAAGCTGAATAGAAGGACATGAATAGAAGGTCAAATAGTAGTGAGACTTATCATCGTTATACCATTTTTTTTTGTTTCTCATAAATTTCTTCCACAGCAAGTAATCTTATTTGAGATTCACCATTATGCCAATTCACAAACAAAGAAAAATGACATGATTGAACAACTTTGTGTCCGTCATGTCCTGCATATTTGCAACAAGGCAAGTTCATGGCCTAATATTTGAAGACAGCATCCTCTCTGCTAACAAATTGTATTTGTCTTTATCTGCTCTCCAAAATTGTTAGAAAAATATGACAACACAGATTAAAATTGTGTTTTTGTCCTTCCAGTAAAATCTTCACCTATATAACTTTCTCCAACTCCAAGTTCTACATTTATTTGCCAATAAAAAAAATTACGGACAGATACACGCGCTTCTGCTCTATTGGAAAATGTTTTATTAACAGCCAAAACTTCTAAAATCCTGACAAGTGACAACAATGCAGATCTCAGATCATCATTTTGGTTGGAGCAGATAAATTTGCATCTTTGCTCGCAGTATCTCCTGGAAAAACCATAAAAGCAGTAATTGAAGGTAAGAGAAACATGATACCGCATACAATCCACTGTGCGTAGAAAATGTAGATTTTTCAATCAACTGATAAGCATAATACATCTCTAACCGGATAACCAGCATCAAACCTTAACTACTGCTTTACATGATAGACATGTCATAATATTTCAAGCACAAAAACAAACATCTGAAAGAAATTCGCACACGTAGTTAAACTAAATGTGTTTATGGCTGTGGGATTGTAATATTGAGAATTTCAGAGTTTAGAACGGGTTTCCCTTACAGATAGCTTACAGGGTCAAAAGATATTGTGTTTTATCGTTGTCAATTTAGTTTTTTTCTCATTTTTTCCCCCTATCTTTAATAGATAGGATAGATATTTTGCCAATTATCTTATCACTGTCTTTCAAAATGTTTACATTTAACAGCTCGGTTAACTACTGTCTTACCTCAAGTCCCGCTTTTTCTACCTTTCATTGTTTCTATCTCAATTGGAAAATTTCAGATGAATAGGTAGTTGTGTGGATAATAAGTTCACTAACAAAAGCAAGACCTTATCAACATGACATGACCTTCATAAGAATCAACATATATTCGGCAGCTTAGATATCCTATGCAAAACAACAAAAATTACATCAGGGCTTCCTTATCTGATTTTGAGCTAAGGCATTATTTTTCTGTTTTCCTTTCTGGAAAAAACATAGATATACTTTGAGAAGAAATACAATTTGAAAACCAGAATTTAAAAAAATAGAACTACCTCAGCAAGTAATAAAAGACCTCCGGGTCTTTCAACAGTAAGATCATATCAGCTGTTACAAGTGTTCTGTTTTTCCAAATTTGATTTTGACACTAAGGCAATACAGTTTCTTGATTGAATTATCGTAAAGGGACAATGAAGCTAGGATCCCTCTCATACAATTGATCAAATTTAAAGCACGCTGATTCTCATACGCAACCATTCCAACCACAGAAGATTGAAAAAGAGGAAGACAGTTACCTTCCAAATAACAAGATGGAGAGCCCACCGAACAACAGAAATTACAATCTTGTTTGGATAAACAAGCATAAACATTTATCTTATAAGTGCTTATCTATAAGTTATTTGTATAACAAAAGATAATCTAAAGTCAGAATCTTTTCAGATAAACTACAAGTTGTTTCATAAGTTATTCTACAGAACTTCTGAAAATAAGTTGAAAAGAACTTAGGATATATCTAGCTGTTTTTGCAAGCCCTCCCATAAATCTCAAAAGCTTAAGCAAGTAGATAACATCAAATAAATGAATCTAAACACACTATATGGCACAGGAAAATGATATCAACACTCATATTGCCTTATATAATTGGTTAATGGGATAAAAATGAATTACCAAATGCAGAATGTTGAGGTGGCGGGGCTTCTCCATAAATAGCTTGGAGTCTTTCCAAAGGAACAGGGGCCGAATCAGTTCCGGCTTCCGCATAAAGCTGCTGTTTCCAATCCCAGAGAGTCTTTCTAATGGACTTATTGGATTTGGTTAGAGATTCCTTCTCAGCTTCTAAAGCTTCAACGGTATTCTGCTGATTCCAAGATCTCACTCCCAGTAATGCAAAAGACGAAAACAAACCAACGTTGATCACTGTATTGTTGTTTGAAGCTCTCTTAGCTATGTCAACTATTTTGTAAACAAACTCCATTTTCTTTCCTGAAATCAAAACGGGTAATCCATTTTAACCCAATCATATAAAAAAAAAACTAAAAATAACCCATTTCAACTTTAATGTTAAAGGATTTAGTGATATACAACAATAATCAACAAAGAGAATATTCTACTTCGAACTCAATTTCATTTTTATGATTTTTGTAATCGAAATAACTGTAGATCTTAACCCTAATTTTTCATACTCAGACATAAACGGTGAACGATTTTAGAAAATAAAGTTTAAAACCCTTTTTTTATATCATTCTTAAAACTGAGGCACAAGAGAATAAGAATAAGAACACTAACTTCGTAGAAATGGCGGCAATAGCCTGAAAGAGTGTGTTACAGAGAGAAAGAGGTGGAATAGTGTATCTTGTATCCTCGAACTCAAACCATCACTTTGAGTAAATAAAATAAAACTCAAAAATCACAAAATAGTTTAAACTAATTTTAATAAAATATTTTGAATTAATTTTAGTAAGAGTATTCACACCCATCATCCTCGCTTTGATTTTTTAAATGGAGTTCACACAATTTTTTACTTATATCACACTTTTATATTTTTTAAACATTCCAACTATACTTTACATCTCATCAAAAACTTTAAACTTAATCCTACCAAATCTCACAATATACCCAACCCAACATTTATATTATATTAAAAAAATAATTGAAATAATTTTATTAAAATATATCAAAATATATTAAAAAAATATATATTTAAAATAAAAAATAAAAATATATATATATATTAAAAAACACAATACATCACACAAAAAATACATTAAAAAAACACAAACATTAAAATAAATTACTAGCACAAAATACAATAAAAAGATATATTTAAAATATTTTTCAATGGTTGTTATTCTCATGTCCATAACATTGTTATATATGTATTATCAAGTCTTGTTGAAGGTGTCGATGAATTTGTTTATCACGGACATCAAATCTTCTACATGGGAACTCTTGAAAATCAATATTAGAATCATTCGGTAATATTGTCGTATCATTACTCAAATGATCATAAGAAAAATCAAAATTTCCATCATATGTTGCACGTTCATCTTCAACAATCATGTTGTGTAATATGATGCATGTATTCATTATACGTTGGAGTGTGTTTAAGTGTCAAGATCGTGTTGTGTTACGTATAAATCGCAAATCGGGATTGGAGAACTCCAAATGCTCGTTGAATATCCTTTCTTGTCCCTTCTTGATGTTGGGCAAACAATTTTCTCTTACCCCCTTGTGGCATCGGGATACTTACAAACGTAACTCATTCAGGATAAATAACATCAGATAGATAATAGTCATTGTTGTATTCAATTCGATTGATTGTATAATGAACCTTAGGAGCTTGTCCTTGCAGAACATCGTTGAAGACATTGGATTGGTTCAACACATTAATATTGTTGTTTAAACCTGCAACTCCAAAGAATGCATGCCAAATCCATAAGTCTTGTGAAGCCACTACTTCAAGCATAATAGTTGGCTTCCAATGATCGCCTCAAACGTACCACCCTTTCAATGCAACTAGACAATTTTTACATTCCCAATGCATGCATTCAACGCTCCCTAACATACCTGGAAATCATCGTGCCTCTTTCATTTGCATTAGGCGTTTAATGTCTTCGACGTTTGGCTTTCGCAAATATTATGCACCAAAGATATTGATCACTCATATTGTAAACTTATCAACACATTTTAGTATCGTGGTTTTACCAATTCTCAAATAGTCATCCACACTGTCAGCAGATGTTCTATATGCCAACATACGGATAACAACATTGCATTTTTGTAATGGTGAAAGACTTAACCTACCTGTTACATCAACCATCATTCGAAAATACTCATCACATTGATCTATAGCTTCAACAATACGAAGGAACACATGTTTATCTATTCGGTACCTTATATGAAACGACTTATTTGTGTATACCAGAGTTTCTGAAAAATAATCTTTGAACAATCGATTATGTCCCTCTTCACGATTCCTCTTTATATTCCTTCTTTGACGTCTAGGCCTTCTAGAGCTCGAGGCTTATTCTTCCGTAAACAAGCTCACAAGTTCTTCATCCATGTCATCATTCATATAATCCATGAAATTTTTTGCAATGTGGGAAGGATTGGAAGGATCCATGTGAAAAGAAGTTTGATATTTAGTAGAAGATGATAACAAATTGTAGAGAATGCAAGAGGTTAGTGTGCATGTTAATACTATTTATAAGACTACTTTGAATAATGACTAGTTTGAATAATGGCTAGTTTGAATTTGAATAGCGACTAGTTTGAATAACGACTACTTTGACTTTAAATAACAGCTAGTTTGAATAGCGACTACTTTGACTTTAAATATATAATCATACTAGTTAAGTCCAAAATACATAATCATACTAATTAAGTCCATATTAATTAATTCCAAAACACGTATTCATACTAATTAAGTCAAATATACCTAATCACATCAATTAAGTCCAAAATACATAATCTTACTAATTAAGCCCAAAATACATAATCATACTAATTAAGTCCATATTTTTCTCTAATCATGTCGCACAATATTTCATGAGCTTGTAGTAGTCTTGTATCCATATATGATGTATCTTTTGAGAGTATTTGCAAATCATTCATCTTTAATCTCTCCTTAACACTCTCGACCTTCTTATTCTTTGCATCAACCTTTTTTCCCTCTATCTCAAATTTTTCACCCTCAATGTGTGCATAGTCCCGTGCAAACATTGACATCAGATCAATTTTTTTAAAGTCATCTTTAAAAGAATCATATTTGACATTGGGAGTAGAAGACATTTCCATAAGCTTTTCTTTCTCCTTCCTTTTGGTTGCCTTTTGACCGATTTGACGACGAGACAAATTAGATAATGGTGGGTCGTGTTCGCTGCTCATTTGTGGATTAGAAGATGAAGAATATGCTCCTGAAGCTGAATTTTTTGTTCTTTTTGTAGAAGCTTCTGACGAACATGCGAGCCATTTAGATTCATCTTTCAATAATCTCCATGCAGTCTCAAAAGTAAACCTTTCACCTTCATCTTGGAAATAGATTTTATATGCATCTTGCATTATATTGCTCTCGGGACTCCCACTTTGTTGTGTAGACACGACTTATTTGTAGCATCCAATAAAATTTTGAACAGATGGGTTAATTTTGTGTCATCGATCTTTTAGTTGCGTCGGTTTCCTCTCTTTGTAATTTATGTCATGATTCTTGTTGTAAGCTTCACTGATTCTTTTCTAAAAACCATCTCCTTTTTTATTAACCCCAATAATTGAATCCTTAGAAACGTTGAGCCATGATTGAATGAGAACTTCATCCTCTTTTTGTTGGAACCTTTGCTTATGTGTATTCACAACCTGCGCGGATGCAACTTCTTCACCAAGGTTTATAGTTTCTAAGCTATCTTAAGAGCAAAATTGTGGTGTCTCAAGTTCTTGATCATTTGGTTGTGCACAACTACTACCTATTTGAGTCTCTTGAGGCATAGTGAAGTTAGTTGATTGAGATATAAATGGTTGATGTTGATATGGATAAGGTGGTGTATAATATGGGTAATTTTCAAAGTGTGGATTATTTTGTGGATTTGGGATAAATTCAGAATTTTGAAAATTTGGGTTATGGTGTGAATTTGAGATAAAAAAAGTGCATTTCCAACATATGGGTTGTTTTGTTGATTTGGAATAGAAGGAGGACTATCACCATTAAAAATTTTACCTCATACCCCTACTTTTATCTCTATACCCCTACATTTTATATAAAATATCAATTTTGCCCTTGTATATTTTTAACTAATTTATTACTTTATTTTTTAAATAATTTTTTAAAATTTATTTTGCGTACCGGAAGACTTTGAAAAAGAGTTTCGGTATACAAAATAAAATTAAAATGTGTTTTAAAAAATGACTACCAGAACTCTTTTGTAAAGTCTTCCGGTACACAAAAATTGACTACCGAAACTCTTTTGCAAAGTCTTTCGGTAAACAAAATAAAAGTTAAAAAATATTTTAAAAAATGACCACCGAAACTCATTTGTAAAGTCTTCCAGTACACAAAAATTGACTATCGGAACTCTTCTGCAAAGTCTTCCGATGCACAAATTTTTTTTTAAAAATTACTACCGAAAGTTTGTTGCAAAGTCTTCTGGTACACAAAAATTGACTACCGGAACTCTTTTGAAAATTATTTCGGTAAACAAAATAAAAGTTAAAAAATAACTACCGGAACTCTTTTGTAATGTCGTCCAGTACACAAAAATTGACTACTGAAACTCTTTTGCAAAGTCTTCCGTACACAAAAGTTGACTACCAAAGCTCTTTTGTAAAGTTTTTCGGTATACAAAAAAATTATAAAAAATGACTACGAGACTCTTTTGCAAAGTTTTTCAGTACATAAAATAAAATTTAAAAAATAAAATAATAAATTAGCTAAAATTATACAAAGGTAAAATTGATATTTTTTTATATAACGTAGGAGTATATGGATAAAAGTAGGGGTATGAGATAAAATTTTCACTACCATTTTGCATAAAATTAGACTAAAAACTATGTTAATTGAGATCCATTAACAAATAAATGTGTAGGAAAAAAAAAAAAAATCAAATACTTCAAAATTAGACTAGTTATGAATAAAAATTATAATATAAGTAGTAACCTAATTATAAAAAATTACCGTTAATTTTTGTTACACGTAGCAATATAACCGTTGTGAATTTTTCTATCAATTAATAATATAGTTGTTTCAATTTTTCTTTCTGTTGGCAATCCAGCTGGCATTAGAAAACATTCACACACTAGAGAATAGTCACAAACTAGAGAACGCTATTTTTGCTCAAATATCCATTATGCCTGACACTGAAAACTTTGATTTATGTTTTTGAACGGAGAAACAGTAGCGATATTTATGCTCTAAAGTTTCATAATGACTGTGCGCTCTTTTATACATGGCTTGATTACAATTTTACTCTTTTAATTTAATTCTCTATTTCATATTGACTTTTCTAATTTTGATAAACCTAATTCAAGTCAAACTATCTTTATACAGACTACTAACAAATTTGTCAATGAATCAAAGAAAGAATGTAACACACTAAACCCTAACACGAAATTTATAAAGTAATCAGAGTAATTTTCACAAAAGGGTATCACATATTTCTCAATTAAATGTATTCCTCAAGATTATACTTAATAGCAGCGGAAATTAAACAACTAAAAACACAACTTCATTGTCTTATCAAAATAGAAATTGTCTAACTCAATGAAATATTAGTTTAGGTAAACATAACAACTCGCAGAATGCAACAAGTAAATGATCCCAACCCAAGTGGTACATTATCATAGAGACACAAGGTAACTAAACGATGCAGAAAAGAATAAACGAAGAAGGCCACTAGTCATCTTCCACACAAGCAACATCTAAGACTCCCCAGTCTCTACCTGAGTATCTGCACCATAAGTCTAAGATATTTGGTGCTATTATGAAGTTAGACATTCTGTTTTAGAGTTTATACAGGAAATATTGATGGATTGGTTGAAGTGAAACAAATAGAACTAGAGTTAGAATACTTTGATTGAGACGCAATCAATTGCATTTGAAAGTGGGTTTAAAGAACCATTAAACTAGAGAGTTTCATAATTTTATCATTGTCATACCCCAAATTTGTCCTACCCTTTTACTTTCTTGTCATAAGCATGTGTGCAGTGATGGTTGAAATTCCGTGGAAGTTTGACCTAATCTTGGTCAAACAAGTGGTTTGCTTCATTACCAAGTTATCAAGGTTGTGTCAAGTTATAGTGTTTTGTGGTTGAAGATTATCAAGATCCAGTCCATTTCTCAATTAGGGTTTTGTGCAGTGTATTGAAGTCCATATCTCAAGTCTCAATCTTCTGATTTCAAGGCACTTTCTTGCTCATTCGGTTCATAATGAAGGATTTGGTTTATCAATATTCAAGTGTCTTCATATTCAGGATTAATTCTTTTTGGGTATCATTTCTCAAGGCTAATCCAAGGCATATTCATCTTGGTCATAACATTGGGCATTTCGCTTCAACATGTTTTAAGTGGCAGAAGAAATTCAAACTTATGTAAGAAGTTGGTTCAAGTGTGATGCTTTGGAATAAATTGCAAGCATGTGTGTCAATTTCAAAATTAAAGGGTGCAAGAAGTAAATACAATAAATAAGCCCAAGTTCATTTTATGTCATAAAGTTCTATAAAAACAAGAATGGCACAAGACAAGTTGCAAAAGTGCAAATCCATATTCTTTTTACATAAAGGCCCATTATTTTTTTCCATTATCAGCACATTGCACATTACAAAAAAATTACAACTGTACAAAAAATTATTAAAAAATACATCAAGTTTCAGCAGCTACCACAAAGCTCCAAAACATGCTAAGACTTCAGGCCAAACAACACAAGCCTGCTACATTGCATACGCTTAAACGAGCCACAAGCTTCACAAATCGTAAGCCTCCACGCACAAGTTCACGCCATGAGCTATTACACACACACACACACACACACACACACACACACACACACACACACACACACACACACACCAGCGAAATCCATACTACAAATGAATACTAGCTTTTACCTTCACAACAAGCTTATGCCAAAAGTATAATATCCAAGCCAAGCCACAAGCTTTAGCTACTACCATAATCAAAATATGACCTCACAAGCTACCACACACAAAATTTCAAGCTACGACTTAAAATACTGCAACATGAAAACCGCACCAAGCTGTAACAAAATTAGCCAAAAACGCATCTCAAGCAACAAAATCCATGCAAGCCAAACACAACGGAATAAGAGTACAAGCATACAAAACCAAACGATCTACAATTTTAACGCATTTCACACGGAAACAAACTTTCCAAAAGAAAATACGCACAAAACGACTTCACCCAAATGCAACTACGACACAAAAATTCAAAAATGACAAATATAATTCACAATCACTCACCTCTTCTATAAATACAAACTGAATTCTTATTTATTCTCCCAATCTCTAAAGCTAAAATCTCCTTGCCAAAATTTCTTCACATTACTCTTCAATCCTCAAACCTTCATTCAATCTTCGTCATTCATCATCATAAACCTATTTCACAAACCTTCACATCACCTTATTCAAACCTTCCTACATCAAACATCCATCGCCGCCGCAGAATCCTTGCTGAATCGAGCGAGAGATCTGTTAGATTGAAGCAGAATAAAGAAACATAGAGAGATGAGTTGAGGAAGGGTGGTGCTTGGTAAGACCTGAGCCAAGAGGATGAGATCAAGGTCGGAGGAGGTTTGTTCGTGGTCGTCACAAAACAGGGAAAGAGGGGATTACTGCATCGTGAAAGAAGAAGAAGAAGATGTTGGTTCCTTTTTACTGATACTTGTTTTCATTACCTTTTTTATTTTGGTTTGGGTTTCAGGCCCGTTTTAATGGTTTTATGATCGTGAATTTGCGTATTGGTCGGATTACTATTGTAAGTATACAATTTATCGCGTAGTTTTAAAAGATTGTCGAACCTACAAGGACTAATAATCAACCTAGAGTGATCAATTATTGCGGTGCAAAGCTAAGGCTTGATTTGTTTGCGGTAAAAAGAGCTCAATTATAATGGGATTTGAAAAAGATAAAGAAATGGGTCCGAAGAATGATCTACGTGCTCCTAAGGGACTCCGTAAATCTCGGGCGTTAACAAAGGTCTCAAAGTTATTATGTAGGAAAAGTGGTTTAAATATTCGATCTCACACTCTCGCGCTATTGACCCAATCACACCTGGTAACCCCAAGATTTTGCTCTTGCTCGCTCGGTAGTTAAAAGGCACACTTTGAAAACTAACAAAACCTAACCGAAACCTAAAGTGCTCTCACTGTGTTCAGGCTCAGTGTTTGGTATCTACTATCCGGCGATCACCTTAAACTCTCGCTCTACCGGACACGCCTTGGTGCGTTTCTCACTCTCGTGACAAAACTTTGTTAACCAGCCTCTCACTCTCATGATAAGACTGTCTAAATTCAGGTTAGATAGCAGAACCAGAATTAAGACGATTAAGTTAAACACCG